TGAGTGGCACTGGTAAGTGGGTTTTATAAAGGGAATGGAGAGTGCCTCGCAATGAATTTTTAATAACATCAAGTTTTCATCATTTACCTCTGTGTCTGTCTCCTCCTCCATTCTCTTACTCTCCCATTTATGGACAGAGTTTTGTAGGTAGCGGGTGCTCAATAAACACATGGTAGGTTACCCAGTACCACCCACGAGCTCTGTCCCCAAGGAAGGCAGTGGTGCAGCAATGGGGGGTACGGGCTCAGGGTGCGTGACCCTAGGGAAGGGATGGGAGGAGTTCAGGCTGTGTGACCTCAGACGGCTTGTTTCCACATGCATTTCAGTTGCCTGCTATGTAAAGTTTCCCAAACATGCCAAAGAATCCCCTCATGACCTTGTTAAAAAAGCAGATTCCTGGTTTCCTCCCCAGACCACTGAGATCAGAGTGGCTAGGGGATGGGCCTAGGAGTCTGTACATGAACAAACACACCAGCTGACTCTTAATAGTTAGACAAGTTTGGAAAACAAATTATACTGAGAATTAAGTGTGAGAATCTAGAATCAAAAAACATCTTAAGCAACAGGCCTGGAGAAGAGAAACTGTCCATCCTTTACTCATCTTTAACCTCTCTCCCCTTCCTTCTAAGCCTCAGTTTCCCTCCCCATCTGGAACAGAGGAAAAACATCTTAAGCAACAGGCCTGGAGAAGAGAAACTGTCCATCCTTTATCATCTTTAACCTCTCTCCCCTTCCTTCTAAGCCTCAGTTTCCCTCCCCATCTGGAACAGAGGGATCTTTGGAGTTACTGTGAGTAACAGATAGCAAAGTGGCTTAGAGCACAGCCTTGTGACACCAAGGTCAAGGGTTCACATCTCTGGACTGGCCAGCTGCCAAAAAACAAAGAGATAGCAAAGTGCTTTGAAAAATGCAAGGTGCAATCCCAAATTTAACCACAATTTTATCTTGCCAGGGGAAAAAAGAAATCAGGAAAAGCCCGTTTCCTAGCATGTTTTTTAACAAGGATGAAAATGCAGGAAAAACTGAGTGTAAATTTCAAATGGATGTGTTTTCTCTTTTCACTCTCAAGAACTTCATAATCATCCTCACTTCTGTCTGATCTTGAGACTCACGGGGAGGAACAAGTGAGCTCTTTCTGGTCGGCGCTCTGTCCTTCCTCACCTGCTTCCTCGACCCCCCTCAATCCCCTGGAGCCACAGCTCCTGAGGAGAAGTGCACACTCCAGCCTGCACACGCACTCAGAGCTTCGAACAAGGTCTAAGCAGGGTCTGGACCCTCACTCCACACCTCCACTTCCATGGGATCTCAACCAAGGCGCTATTTCACTTCTGAAAGATGTAGAATGTCATCTCACAACAAGCTGCTTGAAAGTGGCCGAGAAAAAAAAAAGTTCTGCTTTGAAACCAGAAGCACATCGTGAGGTTAGTTAAAAGGAAGAAAGAAACACCAACAGAAACACCCTTGCTCCTAGCCTCACACTCAGCACCTGCGGACAGACCTTAAGTAAAACCAGCATGGAAAACCATCACCCAGAAACATGCGGCTCGGCCTT